TGTGTGTGTGTGCTCACTCGCGTCTGTACGCACTGACTAGCTTCACACACTTTAATGGTTACCCCTGAGGAAGGGACTGGCACTCAGGGATAAGAGAGCTGCTCCCGTGTCCTCTCCATACACAGTGCTATGAACAGTACTGTACAAGCTCCCGTGTCCTCTCCATACAGCGTCCCATGATGTCTGTGGACACAGCTAATCATAAGGTCAACAATATTTGAAAAAAAAAACAGAGAAAAATAATTGGGAAAGAAAAAGAAGGATATGGAAAGATGGTTCGGCAATGAGAAGCTTTGGATGTTTTTGCAGAGGTCCTGACTTCATTTCCCAGCACCACTGGGAATCTCACAGGAAATCTCACAACTGCCTATAACTCCCGCTCCAGGGGATCAAACACCATCTCTTGCCCTATGAGAGCACCGTCGCATGTGCGGCAAACACATACCAGTGTACACATAAATAAAAACAAATCTTATAAAAATGAAAAAAATAAATGATATAAAAATAGTTGCTTAAGGAATACAACAAGACAAAGTCTACACATGGATATTCCAGAGGTGGAAGGTGGAGCAGAACAGGAAGGCAAAGCCATCCTTGGCTACATAGTGAGTTCTAGGTTCAGCCTGGGCTATAGGAGAGTCTGTTTCAAAATAACAATAATTAGTAATAATAGCACAGAGTTAGGGATGTAGCTTAGTGGTAGTATATTTGTCTAGCATGTACACGACCCAGGTTCACGTTCTAGTGTCACCCACCAATATATATGTGTATGTGTGTGTGCGTGTGTGTAATTGATATACACACACATACATGCATACATACATTACATATACATTTATACATATATATGTGTGTGTATATAAACAAAAAACATCCTGTGAGGAAAGAGAGGCGTGTGTAATATGCGTGTGCAGACTTCTTGTTCTGTTTCTTATGGGACGATTTTCACAAATCTAGGTCACAAAGGTATTAATAAGGGTCTGGAGAAGATGGGGTAGAGGATTATGTAGGTCCTATGCAAATACTCTATTTATTTTGCTTAAGGGACTCAAGTCTCCCTGAATTGGAGTTATTTGAGGGTTTACTGGCAGCCTAAGAAGAGATGTGTGCTAACCAATCTGCAATTCTTGGGAAGCTAACAAGACTAGTTCTTTTTCAAGCAGGTATTAACCAGCCAGTTATACCTGCTCTTGCCTCAGGAAACATCCCCTCTCCACGCAGAAAGAAAGCAACAAACTGTGATGAGAACAGGCAGCGGGATGGGAAGGGGACATTTAAGAGGAGTCCAGAAAACATCCAGGAGAAAGAAGATGGGCTCCCTCCCTGAGAAGTGTTTCCACGAGATGGAGATGCTCTTGTGTGTGAGATTCAAAATGTCAGCCACCACTACGTGTGGGCACTGATCGTTGGAGAAGGCGCAGGAATAGCCAAGGGACTGATCTCTTCAATGTGATTTTAATTGAACTTAGAGAGAAACCGTTGGCTGATGGCTGCTGCGTGGATGTTCACTGAGCATCAGGGGGCCTGAGTGTGAGCACTGGGAGCTGTTTGGGTGCATGAGCTTAGTTACTGGAAACAAGGGGCAACTCAGCAACATGAGGGCACAGTGTCTATGATTCTTGGTCCTAAGTTCAAATGTTTTTTTTTCCTTTTTTCTTTTCTTTTTTTCATTTTTTTATTTTTTATTTTTTTGAGACAAGGCCTCATATAGCCCCGGCTGTCTTTGAATTCCCCATTTGCCTGCCTCTATCTCCCAAGTGCTAGGATTACAGGCTATGCACCACTGTGACCAGCATACACTACTCTTTTCAAGTATCTCATTTAGCACAGAGGACAGCCCCCATAGCGCTGCTACTGTGGCCATTCTTACTCTACAGATGAAGAAACATGAGGCTCTAGATAAGCTAGGAAGCCTCCCAAATCATCTCTATTAGCAAGAGCAGAGATAGGGGAGGAATCCCAAAAGCCTTCCTTTGAAAGGCTGTATTACCTAAAGAAGGGGCGCCGGTGTGGTGGTGCACACCTTTAACTCAAGCATCTGGGAATTTGAGTCTAGCCTCATCTACATAGAGAGTTCCAGGACAGACAAGGTTATGTAGTGAACCTCTTTCTGAAAGAGAAAAAAAAAAAAACAGAGAGAAAGAAAAACAAACAAACAAAAAAGAGCCTAAATCTCTGTTGAGAGGGAATGAAACTTCCCACGAGATAGCGCATGCCTGTTAAAAAAGATTGTGGTGCTCTCGAAATATATGGATATTATGTATCTCCACATAGTGATTGTTTACTTATGTAATAAATCAGCAGTGCTTAGCAAAATGACTGGCATGCAGTAAACACTCAATAAATGCCTAATTAAAAATTATTCATTCAAAAGAAGCAAGAAAAATTATGTATAGGAGGGAGCGTGGTGGTACATGCCTATAATCCCAGCACTGGGAAGGCTGAGGAAGGAAAATGATGTGATTGAGACTGTCTTGAGCTAGTGACATCTTGTCTTAAAAGATTAAGGACTGAAATCCAGCTCCAGGGTAGAGCCCCTGCCTAGAATCCCCCAGTGAGGGGCTGCAGTGTGGCTCAGTGGTAGAGCCCCTACCTAGAATCCCCCAGTGAGGGGCTGAAGTGTGGCTCAGTGGCAGAGCCCCTGCCTAGAATCCCTCAGTGAGGGGCTGGGGTGTGGCTCAATGGTAGAGCCCCTGCCTAGAATCCCCCAGTCAGAAGCTGGGGATGTGACTCAGTGGTAGAGACCCTGCCTAGAATCCCTCAATGAGGGGCTGGGGTGTGGCTCAGTGGTGTAGCTCCTGCCTAGAATCCCCCAGTGAGGACGTTGGGTGTGGCTTAACCATAGAAAACTGGCCTAAGAATCCAGAGCAACACCCCAGCTGAAATCAGGGACTTTACTGGTCAAGAATCAATAGAGCGATTTTGTGCTCTGGAACATCGTGTAGAAAGGAAAAAACCAGTAAGTCATAGACCTCCCTGTTCTGGAAACCCCAGTTGCTCAGGGCAAAACCAGAGGATGACCTGGGGACTCAGGGATGAAGAAAGCCCGCAACTTCCCTGGTCATCGAGTTTTGCACTTCCTCTTTTGTGTGGATGAAGCAACAAGGTCATATCCTCTGTAACAGAGGTGCCAAATCGCAACTCTTCTAGCCCCATACCGCAACCTCAGGACCCAGGCATACAAAAAGGACCCGCTAAGAGGGCCATGGACTCTAGATGTCAGTCCCTTCCGACTTCTCCAGTCGTGACCGTTCTTCCAAATCTGTTAAGACTTGGCTTTTGTTTCTCTCGTTCTGTAGCCCTGGGTGTCCTGGAACTCACTCTGTAGACCAGGCTGGCCTCAAACTCAGAGAGCTTCCCCTGCCCCTGTCTCCTGAGAGCTGGGATAGCAGGTGTGCACCACCACGAAGGTCAGTTTGCTAAACTGTATTTTTGTTGCTGCTTTTCTGATACAGGAGTATCATGTAGCCCTGACTAACCTCAAAATTACTATGTAAGACTGAGCTTCCAACTCCTATGCATCCACCTCCCGAGAGCAGGAGGTGCCGCCACACCCTGCTTTACAGGGTGCGGGTAAGTAGACCCAGGCCTGGCAGCACTCCACCCAGCACTCGTACCCCTGAGCTGTTATCTCCAGCCTGGTTGTCTTTTAACACAGTATCTCACAGTGTAGCTAGTGTAACCTGAAACTCGCTACGTAGCCCAGGCTGGGCTCGAACTGCAGCACCCAGCCTCAGCCTCTTGAGGGCTCAGGTTACAGGTGTAAGCTACCACGCCCAACTCCTAGAACCCTTCATTTAGGAGAGCCAATGCCAGGGTTTTCTGTCCTGAAGAACCTTCTCGGGTCTCCAGCCCTGCGAGGCTGCGGTGATGCTCTTAAGTCCTTAGTCCCTGGCCGTATCCCATCCTCAGCATAAGAGCTTGGGATGCAGTTGGGAGAGGGCAGATGAAGAGAGCTTGACAAGCAAAGGCAGACAGAGTTAGACAGGGAAAGTGAGGGGGGAGGAACCCACTCACCATGTCCCGGCTCCTCCCGCGTTCTGTAGTGACCACGATGGCTGCCTGAAGGTCCCTCCTGTCACTTGGGCTGTGCCTTTTAAAGCCTCAAGAAGAGATGCCGGCAGCTGAGAGGAAATGACTGTCTTGTCCCTCTGAGGTGCTCATTGGCCACACACTGGCCATTCTAGTTGGGGCTCCCTCCACCGGTGCTCACCCAGAAAACTCTCAGCACCACCCAGGGCCACCCAAGCAGAGGAAAAAAGTCTGGCATGGAAAAAGGAGGAAGTCCCTGGCCCCGGAAGGGGAAAAAGCAATTTCCAGGGCCTCTTCTCCTTTGTGGACGCAGCTGCCTTTACTGACCTTGGTTCCCCCATCTGAGGAGAGCTTTACTTCAACTAAAGGAAGTCTTGGGGTTCCTGGGGTTCCAGAAAATAGGGATGGGAACCACAGCTCCAGCCTCTTTGAAATTTTTTTTATTTATTTATGAATGCTCTATCTGCATATACACCTTTATGCCAGAAGAGGACATCAGATCCCACTATAGATGGTTGTGAGCCACCGTGTGTGCTGGGAATTGAACTCAGGTCCTTGGGGCTAGAGAGATCGCTTAGTGATTAAGAGCACGGACTGCTCTTCACAACTCTCTGGAATTCCAAGATCGGACTCACATGCAGGAAAAACACCAATGCACATAAAATAAAAATAAATAAAATAGCCAGGCGGTGGTGGCACACACCTTTAATCCCAGAACTCGGGAGGCAGAGGCAGGCAGATCTTTGTGAATTCGAGGCCAGCCTGGTCTACAGGACAGGCTCCAAAGCGACAGAGAAACCCTGTCTCGAAAAACCAACAAAATAAATAAATAAATAAATAAATACAAATTATTTTTAAAAATGAACAAATAGCAGCCGCCTTCAGTCTTGGCTTTGAAGAGGAGCCGGCGCCAGTGGATTCCTGATCTTGGGTGCAGCTGCTGTTGTAGAGAGATGATGAGCTGAGAACTTTGGCAAAATGGAGAAGCACAACACGGCAGTGACCTATGATGGTGTGCACATCAACTTCACTAAGGAAGAGTGGGATTTGCTGAATCCTTCCCAGAAGAGTCTCTACAAAGGTGTGATGCTGGAGACCTACAGGAACCTAACTACTATAGGATACATTTGGGAAGACCTTCACACCGAAGAGCATTGTCAATGTTCTAGAAGACATGCAAGGATTGAAAGGAATCAAACTGGAGAGAAGTTTTCAGTGTATTCTCACTGTGGTAAAGTCTTGTCTTGTAACACTCATCTTCTAAGGAATGAAAAAACACATGGCAGAGAAAAATGCTGTGAAATTAAGCAATGTGATGAAGTTTTTTGTTATCACAATCGTCTTGAAATGCATTAAAAAAACACACATTGGAGAGAAACCCTATGTATATGGTCAAGATGATAAAGACTTTCTTCGTTATGAAATACATCAAAGTCAAAAAATAACACATACTGGAGAGAAATCATATGAATGTAATATTCATGGTAAGGTCTTTGCTGATCACAGTCATCTTCAAAAGAGTAAAAGAATATATACTAGAGAGACACCCCCAAAAAAAAAGAACAAATAAACTCAGGTCCTCAGCTCCCAACTAGGTTAGCCTTTATAACTAAAGCACACACAGAGCTGTAGCGATGACCCAGGTCTTGGGAGGGGGCTGGGTCTAACACACAATGTAACCCTAGCACTCAGGAGGAGGCTGCAGCAGAAGATCACCCTGGGCTGCAGAATGAGACCTCGTCTCAAATATTAAAAACCAAAGCACGGCACGCCAGGATCATAGCTCGGCTGGTGAAATGCTTGCCTAGCGTGCACGAGGCCCTGGGTTCCACTCCCGGGGCCACATCAAGTCTGCTGTAGTGGGGCATTCTACCCCGGCACTCAGCAGGCTGAGGTCAAGGTCATCTTCACTGTGTGGTAAGTTCCAGTCCAGACTAGACTTCATGAGCCCCGGTAGAGCAGGGGTTCTCAACCTTCCCAGTGTTGAGACCCTGTAATACAGTCCCCATGGTGTGGTGACCGCCCAACCATAAAATATTTTCATTGCTACTTCATAACTGTAATTTTCTATTGTTATGAATCATAATATAAATATCTGATATGCAGGATGTCTGTTATGTGACCCCCAAAGGGGCTCTGACCCACAGGTTGAGAACCACTGCTTTACACTCCTGTAATCCTGCCATTTAGACTGAATTTAGCCTGAAGCAGGAGGATCAAAGATTCCAGGTCACCTGAACTGCTTGGCAAGGACACACACAAACTAAACTAATGTCACAGGTGTGGTACGCACCATTAATCCTATCAATCCTATGAGTTCAAGGTCTATAAGGGCCACAAAATGAGAGCCTGTCTGGAAATTTAAAATAAAAATTAAATTAAATTAAAAATAAAGCAAAAGAAACATCTTAGTGTCCTTTTTTCTTTTTTTTTTCTTCTTTTTTTTTTGTTGTTGTTGTTACTTGTTTGTTTGAGATAAGCTTTCTCTGTGTAACAGTCCTAGGTGTCCTGGAACTAGCTCTTGTAGACAAGGCTGGCCTCGAACTCACAGAGATCCACCTGCCTCTGCCTCCTGAGTGCTGGGATTAAAAGCTTGAGTACCACTGCCCAGCACATTTTACTGCCTTAACTAATGCTGTGTTGTTTTGTTTTCTATTTGCTTGAAATCTGACATCATCTCTCTTTTCCTCCCACACCCCGCCTTGTGGACCTGAGACATGGGTCATGTGAGACCACTGGGTCCTGGAACTCCCGTGGGTAGTCAGGGAGATGGACAACAAGAGGAGAACACTCTGTGGATTTCAGAGACGACAGGGGAAGCAGTTCGAGGTGGGGCTCTGTCTATAATCTGCGTTTATAATCTCAGCACTTGGGAGGAGGGCACAAGAGACTCCATAGCTCAAGTTCATCCTGATACAAACAGTTTGAGGCAAATCCGAACATGAGAAGTATCAAAAAAAAAAAAACAACAACAACAACAAAAAAAAAAGACAGTCAGGTGATGGTACACGTCTTTAATCCCAGCACTTGGGAGGCAGAGGCAGGTGGATCACTGTGAGTTCAATGCAAACTTGGTCTACAGAGCAAGTCCCAGAACTGCTCAGACTACTCCGAAAAATCCTGTCTCGAAAAATAAAATAAAATAAAATAAACAAACAAACAAACACACATGCGGTAAATTTACTGATTTGTGTGTGTGTGTGTGTGTGTAGGTCAGGGGACAAAGTGCAATCCTTTCCTTCTACCTCGTTGGTCACAGGAATTGAGCTCACGGCAGCAGGTTTAAAGTCAAGCACTTCACCCACAGAACCATCTCGTTGACCCCTTTTTCTTGGGTAGAGCTGAGGACTTTCAGTTTACACGAAGGAAACCAGAGAAGCTGAAGAGACTTGTGACCCAATGGCGTGGGAAGGGTGAGCTGTCACTCATCTATGGCTCCCAGTGCCCTCCCTGGAAAGCCCATCCTCTGCAGAAGTGCATGAGCTCAGCAGGTAGCTGTGGCCCCAGTTCTCCAAGAGAAGCAGCTGAACCCAACCACCAGCTTGTCTGCAGCTGCCGGAAGCTGAAAGCCCATCGTAGGGTGGCAGCCATCATTCTTCACTCAATCTGCTGTCGCGCTGAGTGAGGTTCCAGGCTGTGGCCATGGTGGCTTCTGGGGCAGTGCTGAGACACAGGTGGCCTTCCGCCGCCAGTCGGTGGGCTTGCAAGAGGTTCTTATGTCTGCTCTGCCTAAAAACAGGAGGCTGGAGAGATGACTCAGGGGTTGAAAGTGCTGCCTGCTCTTCCAGGTCCTGACTTCAATTGCTAGCAACTCCATGGTGGCTCACAACCATATATAATGAGATCTGGTGCCCTCTTCTGACATGCACTGTATATGTGATTTAAAAGAGAGAGGGAGACAGAGAGAGAGAGAGAGAGAGAGAGAGAGAGAGAGAGAGAGAGAGAGAGAGAGAGAGAGAGNGAGAGAGAGAATGGTTGATGGTGTCACATGCTTTTAATTCCAGCAGAGGCAGAAACACTGTATATGTGATATCTAAAGAAACAGGAGGCTCACTGGGTGATGGTGGCACATGCCTTTAATCCCAGCAGAGGCAGGTGGAATGAGTTTGAGGCCAGCCTGGTGTATATAGAGAGCAAGTTCCAGAAGAGCCAGCTCTACACAGAGAAATGCTGCCTCAAAAACAAAATGTAACCTTAAAAAATTAACCAATAAAAGTAACCAATTAAATAAAATGGACTGTCTTAGCTTCCTTTATTGGCTACAGCCACCAATCAGAGGCTTATGGTTTATGAGACTTGAAAAGTTACAGTCTCAGGCCCAGCAGTTAACAGCACTGGGCCGGGCGGTGATGGCGCACACCTTTAATCCCAGCACTCGGGAGGCAGAGGCAGGCGGATCTCTGTGAGTTCGAGACCAGCCTGGTCTACAAGAGCTAGTTCCAGGACAGGCTCCAAAGCTACAGAGAAACCCTGTCTCAAAAAAACAAAAAAGAGCACTGGTAGCTCTTCCAGCCAATTCAATTCCCAGCAACCACATGGAATCTGGCGACACCTAGTGTCTGATTCTCTCTTCTGTCATGCAGGCATACTTGCAACCAGAGCACTCATATTCAAAAATAAATATTTAAAAAAAAGAAAAAAGAAAAAAGTTACAGTATCATTCTTCCAGAATCCATGTTTGAAAGTCATAGTGACCCAGAACAGCTCTGCAGAATATTCTAGAAGGGTCTTCTTTCTTTTTTTTCCTATTTTTTTTAAAAGAAAACAAACTATTTTTTTTTCATTATACATACTAATCCAAGTTCCCACTCCCTACCCTCCTCCCATTCCCTCCACATCCCCCTATCATCCCCACCCACTTCTCAGAGATGGTAAGGCACGTTGCTTTGGGAAAGGTCCAAGGTCCTTCTCCCTACTATATCTAGGCTGAGCAACGTATCCATCCAAAGAAAATAGGTTACAAAAAAGCCAGACCAAGCAGTAGAGATAATCCTGGTGCAACTGCTGTGGCCCCTCAGCCTGCCCCAGCCATGCAACTGAATGTGTCAGCCACACTCAGAGGGTTAGTTTGATCCTATGCTTGTTCCTTCCCAGTCCAGCTGGAGTTGGTGAGCTCCCATTAGCTCAGATAGACTGTTTCAGTGAGTGAACCCTTCATGGTCTTGACCTCCTTTCTCACCTTGACCTCTTTGTTCATATTCTCACACCTCCCACTCTTCAACTGGACTTTGAGAGCTTGGTCCAGTGCTCCGATGTGGGTGTCTACCTCTGTTTCCATCAGTTGCTGGATGAAGGTTCCATGGTGAAATTTGAGATATTCATCAGTCTGACTACAAGGCAGGGCCAGTTCAGGCACCCTCTCCTTTATTGCTTAGGGTCTTACGCGGGGTCATCTTTGTAGATTCCTGGGGATTTCTCTAGAGCCAGGTTTCTGCTAACTCTGTAATGGCTCACTCAATTATGATCTCTCTTTCCTTGCTCTCATCTCTGTCCTTCCTCCATCTCAACAATCCCATTCCCTCAAGTTCTCCTCACCCCTCCGCTTCTCCTCTCCTCCTCCCCTTCTACCCTCCTAGAAGGGTCTTTCTAGACCTCTTCCAGTTTCTGGTGGCCACTGGCTACATCACCCCAACTTCTGTCTCCAGCCTCACAAAGCCCTCTCCTCCCAAGTGCCCTCCTGTCTCTTCTACGGACACTTGTCCTTTTACCCACAAAGCCCCCCTTTCACATAACAATACATCCACACCTTCTAGGTAGGTTGGGGGTGAGTTCTTTTTTGGTGGGCAGGGAGTTACCGATTCAAGCCATTCCATGGACCAAACTGTCCTCCAAAGTGGAGGGGCCATTCCAAGGCATGTTCTTGTTATTGTCACCAGAAAATTCTGGACTCTGAAGCACCTAACATGAGCAGGGTAAATGGATCCTAGGTCATCTTAGGTCATCCAGCTTTCTCTTGACAGTAAGAAAAAACAGAAAGGCAAAAACTCAAAGCGCCTGCAGGGCAGCGCACTGATTTCAGCCTGGGAAGTTAAGGCTCCAGCTGGGCGACCTGGTTAAAACGTTCCTCTGATTCTCAGTGTGAACCTCGCGCCCTCTTGTGGCTGCATACTCCTCACACGCCTTCTGAGTTCACCCAAGTTAATGATTTGGGGCTTTGCTTTAAATATCTATACATTTAAATATTTAAATTTTTTTTTGTTTTTGTTCTTGTTTTTCCGATAAAGGATTTCTCTGTGTAAGCACTCTGGTTGTCCTGGAACTCACTCTGTAGACCAGACTGGCCTCGAACTCACAGAGATCCACCTGCCTCTGCCCTTGCTTCTACCTCTCGAGGGCTAGGATTGGAAGAGGTGGTG